GCATTTCTGTACCACCATTACATATGGATTGTGAGAAAATACTACAAGGAGTTAAAACCGCTAAACTATGTAGGCGGGCAGCTGAACCACATCACGTGCATCAAGGCTTCGCTGCTGCATCTGTGTCTGGGAACTTGTGAAGGAGGAAATAAGGACACCGTGTGCTGACAATAAAAGTGACCTGAATTAAACCCTGACAAAACCCTAAATCTCTAAACTCCAAAACCCCAAACCTCAACCCTAAGACCCTAAGCTCTAAAACCCTAAACCCAAGCCCCAACTCTACACTTAAGCTCCTTAGCCAGAAGATAGCGCGTCGTAATACAAACAGTTAGAATCAGTAGCTTGGCAGCAAGAATCTGGGCAGCGATTCATTAAAACGTACTCTAAGACACTATCCTATACCATGATATGCTTCAAAATATGTTAAATGTAAGATATGGGAGTTTCCGATAAAGGGGGACCCTAATAGTACCCTAAATAGTAGGATCCTTATTTTGAGGACCCCATTTGAAGGGTACCCCTCATTTTCGGAAACTCCCATAACTCCTCTTTAGTACCCTTATAGAAACCCTTGTAGATCCCTTTAAAGGACCCCCTTTACGGAACCCTAGTTATAGATAATTCTAAACAAGTTATAGTTCAGGCTTCTACATTTCTGCGTGGCGCCTCGGAGAGGAAGAGGTCCAGGTCGCATGGCACCGCCGCCTTTTGCCCCCAAGGCCAAGTACGGCGGGGTTCAGGATCCAGGAATTTAGGGCTTAGGGCTTGGGGTTTTGGGGTTTTGGGGTTTAGGGTTTAGGGGATTAGGGGTTTAGGGTTTAGGGGTTAGGGGTTTAGGGGTTTAGGGGTTTTGGGGTTTTGGGGTTTAGGGTTTAGGGGATTAGGGGTTTAGGGTTTAGGGGTTAGGGGTTTAGGGGTTTAGGGGTTTAGGGGTTTTGGGGTTTAGGGTTTAGGGGTTTAGGGGTTTAGGGTTTAGGGGTTTAGGGTTTAGGGGTTTAGGGGTTTAGGGTTTAGGGGTTTAGGGTTTAGGGGTTAGGGGTTTTGGGGTTTAGGGTTTAGGGGTTTAGGGTTTAGGGGTTAGGGGTTTAGGGTTTAGGGGTTTAGGGGGGTTTAGGGTTTAGGAGGATGGGTTCTGGGTCTTGCAAGGGTTTAGGTTTAGGGGTTTACGGTTTAGGGTTCAGGGTTTAATTAGGAGGATGGGTTCTAGGTCTCGCAAGGGTTTAGGGCTTTGTGTGGGGCTTAGGGCTTTGTTTAGGGCTCTTAGTGACTTAGGAGTCAAGGCCTGAGGGTTGAGGGCGCCCCGTGGTCAGCACATACAGTTCACGCGCGCACACCATAGCAAGTCCTTGGTACAAACCTGTCAACTCAAAACGGCCCAAAGAAAAAAATCCGAAGCCTCAAAGCATGAACTTAAACTTCCCAAACCCCTACACCTGCAAACCCTAAAGTCACAACCCCTAAACCCATAAAGTCAAAGGATCCTTCAAAAACCCTTAGAGCGAATCCCAGAAAGTTGGAACATGGGTTAAGGAGGATTAGTGCTAGGATCTCTTAAACTTTACCTCCAGGGCGTAAGGATGCTCGTGTTCCAACTTTCTGGCTCTTACTATATAGAACCCTTACAGGACCCTTGTAGGAGTCTCAACCACCACACCACCCTTGGAGAACCCTTGTAACCCTTGCAAGACCCATAACGAACCCGGTTAGGACCCTCTAGTTCCTTTAAGGGTTCCTTGAAGGGTTCCCTTAAGGGCATCATTTAAGGGTTCCTTTAAGGATTCCTTCAAGGGCTCCTTTAAGCGCACCTGGAAGGCCTTTAAGGGTTGCTTGCAGCTTACCTTTATGGGAGTCTTCTTCTTACCTTTGGTTAGTAGGGAGTGGAAGAATGGTAGTAATAGTAGTTGTAATTGTACCCCATTCCTCCATTCCCTACTAACCAAAGGTAAGCCTTTCCCACAACACCTCCACTGCACTCTGTGTTCCGGACCATGAGCGGCAGCCAGGCAGCCAAGTGTCGGAGTCTGGACCAGCTTGGAAGCTCTCAATGGTTCAGGGTTTAAGGGTTTCGGGGTTTAGGGTTTAGGGTTAAGGGAAAGGGTTTCAGGGTTAACCGATAGTAGACGCCAGAAAGTTGTAACATAGTTTTAGGAGGTTAAACTCATAGTAGACGCCAGAAAGTTGGAACATAATTTTAGGAGGAGTAGTGCTAGGATCCCTTTTGCTTTACCTTTAGGGCAGGAGGTGAACGATGTTCCAACTTTCTGGCTTCTACTCTAACCTACCAAAACCTACTCTGTTGTGGGGTCCCTATAAGATCCATACTAGGTTTTTTATAAGCACCTACAATAAAGTAGGTTATGGTGGTTCAGGGAAGGGTTTTTTTGAACACCTTTTTCCAACTGCAGAACAGATGAAATCCCTCCGGTTTAGGGCCTAGGGTTTGAGGCCCAGAGTTTCGCTTAAGGTTTGGTTTGGGGTTTGGGTTCCATCAGGGTTTTATGCAATCCTAGAAGGGTGCTATCGTGTTTACACGTATGCGCTTAGGATACAGGGTTTAGGGGGGGTGGGGTTTGAGGTTTAGGGTTTACTTACCTTTGGTTAGTAGAGAATGGAGGAATGGGGTACAATAACTAACTACTATTACTACCATACTACTACCATATAACTACCATATAACTATCATATAACTACTATATAACTATCATATAACTATCATATAACTACTATATAGCCACTATTACTGCCATTCTTCTATTCCCTACTAACCAAAGGTGTAAGTTTCGGGATTTTGGAGCTGAAGCTTTCGTTACGTCAGGGCTTCAGAGTGAGGGGTTCAAGCGGTGCAGCTTTAGAGGTCAAAGGTTTGGGGTTTAGGGTTTAGGCTTTAGAACTTAGGGGTTAGGGCTTAGGGTTTAGGGCTTAGGGTTTAGGGTTTAGGGTTTAGGGCTTAGGGTTTAGGGCTTACGGATTTCGGCCATCAGGACCATGAGCTAAAGACTACCCACTCAAAGTAGAAGGTTCAGGTTAGGGCTGTAAGACCACCCCAAGAAGCCCTACTAAACTAATCTAAATAATCAGGAGGCCCCCAACCCTAAACCCGACAACACCCTTCAACTAGCCTTCCAGGGAAGTGCAACCTTCGAGTTTAGGGTCCAGGGTCTTAGGGGTTGAGTGGTTTCGGGTCTTAGGGTTCAGGTTTTTGGGCTCTGGCTTTCGGGCTTAGGGCTTTGGGTTCGGGCTCTCGGTTCAGGGCTTAGGATGTAGGAGAACTTACACTTCAGCACCTGAACCAAGAGCACGAGTCATTGAGTTCCAGGCGAAGGTGGTTTGAGCAACTTCATTTCAGTTGCCACAGCCAGCAAACCATATTACTGACTTCAAAATCTCTCTCAGAATAACTTACAAACAGAACCCGCCACGAGACTTGAAAATGTTCCTATAAGTCTCCTACGTGTAGGTCCTAGAAACCTCATGGAACCCCAAGCGGAAATCAAAAGTCCCTCATGAACTCCAGCTGAAATGGGGGCCAGATCCCGGCAACAGAGGGGTTTTAGGTTTTAGGCATTATGGATTCAGGATTTCTGGGTGAGAGGTTGGGGGTTTGGGGTTTAGAAGATAAGGGGGGGACTTCGGGGTTCAGGGCTTAGCGTTCGCCACCTCTTATCTCCATATCTCCATGTGGGAGTTTCCGATAAAGGGGTACCTTAATTTCGTACCCTTAATAGTAGGATCCGTATTATAAGGGCCCCATTTTAAGTGTACCCCTAATTTTTGGAAACTCCCATGTTCCAACTTTCTAAAGCATACTGAAACCAAGCAACTGTGACGTGAGCTCTTCTGTGGTCGGCTTGTCCTTGGCACAGCCACGAGCTTTGAATGCCGATGTAGGGAACCGGGTGGGGCATGGTCTACCCAAAAAAAGGGTATAAGGCTTAACGCGTTGAAGCTTTTTGGGGTTTCAGGGTTCTAACACTAGACCCTAAACCCTAAATAAACCCGAAATCCTAAATATACCCTAAACCCTAGACTCTAAAACAAAAACCAAACCCTAAACTCTAAATAAACCCTAGATACTAAACCTTAAATAAACCCTAAACCCTGTACCCGAAACCCTAAATAAACCCTAAACCCCAAACTCTAAATAACCCCTAGATACTAAGCCTAAAATAAACCCTAAACCCTGTACCCGAAACCCTAAATAACCCTAAGCCCTAAACTCTAAATAACCCCTAAACCTTAAATAAACCCTAAACCCTAAACCCGAAACCCTAAATAAACCCTAAGCCCTAAACTCATAAGGTTCCCTCAACATCTCCAACTACTCCTCCGACGGCAGGGGCTCCCCGCCATGGTCTTCAGCGTCTTCGTGTGCACCTTGGGATGTAGGCAGGTACTTAGAGGATCATGGGACTTAGTAAGTAAGGCTCCTTAAAGGGATCTATAGGGTTCCTTAAAGGGGGGTCTATAGGGTTTAGGGAGTACTTAGAGGATCAGGATCATGGGACTTAGTAAGGTTTGGGGCTCCCTTTTAAGGGTACTGTAGGGTTTCTATAATGGGGCTCCCTTTAAGGGTTTAGGGTTTAGGGGATCATGGGACTTAGTAAGTCTAGGGTTCCTTAGAGGGGTCTATAGGGTTTAGGGAGTACTTCGAGGATCATGGGACTTAGTAAGTAGGTCATAATTGGGGTTATAAGTCCCCTAAGTGGGGTTATCCTAACTATATCCCACTTATAACCTTACTTACTAAGTCCCATGAGCCTTTAAGTAATATCGGGGCATCAATACCTAGAAAAGGGCTCCGTTAAAGGGATCACAATAAGGACCACAGTAAGGGTTCTATAATCCATAATGTAAGGGCCTTCATGATTAGAATACGGTTTTGGGGCCCACCATACTATAACTATAATGAGGAACGCCCCAAAATAGTGTAGGTAATTATTGAGGTCCCTATAGTACAAGGATTCTGCAACTCAATGGGTCGCCAGCACAGTCGTTTGTCACCATTTCCAAGCGGCTGTTGTCGTGGCGACAGACATGGCGTCATTCAGTTGAACTCGAACCGTTCCTTTCTCTGGAGATTTGCTTGAGCCAGGGCCACTGTAAATCCCAATGATGGGATTTTCTCTCAAGAATTTTGCCTTTGCCAGGCACTCCTCCGTAGAGTAAGACCTTCCATGAACGTCTCCCCCATCCACAGTAGCCAGTTGTGCCCAAGCATCTGCAAAATGTTCATCGAGGGAGACCGATTTCTGATAGCACTCCTTCTCAGAAAAAACTCTCCGATTGAGCTCCCCACCTCCCAGAAGTCCCAGGTGAAACCAAGCCAGTTGGGTCGCATGTAGCGAGAGAGCGGCCAGGTAGCAGTCCTTTTCGGAGTAGGCCTTGCCCTTCACACTGCCGGCCCCCAGTATGCCAAGCTTCGTCCAGGCCAAGGCTTTCTCCTCTTTGCCAAGAGTTGGACCCTAAACCCTAAACCCCTAAACCCCTAAACCCTAAACCCTAAAACCCTAAACCCTAAACCCAAAGCTTTCTCCTCTTTGCGAAGAGTTGGACTGGTCTCATCTAGGGACAGGGCCCTGATGTAGCAATCCTTCTCAGAGAAAAGTCTCCCTTTCAGCGGCCGCCCACCTCCCTCACGGCCCAGCTGGAACCAAGCCTCCACGTTGTTGAAGTGAACAGATAGAGCTTCTTCGTAGCACCTTAGCCCCCCTTAGAACCAGAACAAAACTAATAGTCTTATTAATCCCTTTACGTTATATTAAAACAAAGATAAAACCTAGTCCCCAAGGGCAGTAAAGGCGCTCCTTCGCAGAGTAGGACGTTCCATTTACCATGCCACCCCCTAGCATGCCAACATTTGTCCAGGCTACCGCCTTCTTCTTGCTGTCCAGCGAGGAATGTTTCTTCTGGGTTTCATCCAAGTCGAGAGATCTGAGGTAGCAATCCTTTTGAGGAAAAATGCGCCCATTCACCTGCCCACCTCCAGACTGCCCAAGGAGGTACCAAGCCACCGAGAACGTATTATCCAGGGACAGTGCTTCCAGGTAGCACTCCTGCTCAGAGTAGGACTTTCCATTCACATTGCCACCACCAGCAAGGCCGACGTTTGTCCAGGTGATGACATTGCTTTTGTCCCGTTTGTGCGACAGGGCAAGAGCTTTCTCCAGGCACTCCAATTCTGTGAAGAATCTGCCCCTCACTTTTCCGCCGCCCAGAGACCCGAAATTGTTCCAGGCGTCTGGGTTCGTCTCATTCAGCAAGAGGGCTCTGATGTAACACTCTTTCTCGGAAAACATCGTCCCATTCACCAGCCCACCTCCCAAACGGCCAAGTAGGTTCCAAGGTTCGGCTGAGGTTTCATTCAGAGAGAGAGCTTCTAGAATACACTCCTTCGATTTCGAAGAATAGAACTCTCCGTATACGGTGCCACCACCCAGTATGGCAGCGCATCCCTTCCTCGTGTTGTCAAGAGGGCAGTAGTTCTTCTGGGTCTCATTCACATTGTGGAGAGATCTGAGGTAGCAATCCTTCTGAGAAAAAACGTGCCCATTCACCTGCCCACCTCCAAAATGGCCAAGGAAGAACCAAGCTAGAGCACAAGTGCTATCCATCGACAGTGCTTCCTGGAAGCTCTCCTTCCTAGAGTAAAGCTTCCCATTCACATTGCCACCTCCAGCAAGGCCAATGTTTGTCCAGGTGACGGCGTTGCCTTCACGGTCCCTCTCATGCCACAAGGATAAAGCTTTCTGCAGGCATTCCTTCACTGTGTAGAACCTGCCCTTCACTTCTCCACCGCCCAGCGACCCGAGATCGTTCCAGGCGTCTGGGCTCGTCGCATTCAGCAACAGGGATCTGACGAGGCATTCTTTCTGAGAAAACATCGTCCCATTCACCAGCCCACCTCCAAAAGCAGCGAGTAGGTACCAAGGTTCGGCTGAGGTCTCATTCAAAGAGAGCGCTTCTAGGATACATTCCTTCGCAGAATAAAAGGTCCCGTTTACCTTGCCCCCGCCACCTTTGCCAAGATCCATCCAGGTGGAAGCCGCCAGGGCCACCATGCCTGGGACAGATGCTATATTCTGGAAGTATCTTACGTATTCAGTTACTCTATGAGAGTAAAATGATATTATATTTTATTTATGCGAAACTATATTATATCATGTTATATTACATTACATTATATGTTTTTACTAAAGTGGTTATCACATTTTAGTATATTGTATTCAGCTATTCTGTATTACATGAAAGGGTATTATAGTAGTGATACATTCTCTTACGTCTATTCATATTATCCAAAAGTCATGCCTGGAACAGTGGTAGTTTCAACCTCTGGCTTGGCGGCCGGTACATGTGCATAGGCGATGCCCAGACCCAGCAGCGTACCGAGTGTGCCCACACAAAGCACAGCTTGAAGAAACACCCGAGGCCTTGCAGCTCTTGGGATTTTTGAAGTGCAAGCCACTTGGGATGTAGGGTTTAGGGTTTAACGCTTCCGGAGGAAACGCAGCTTGAAAGGCTGCATGAACGGGGTTGCGAATTGATGCTACAGAAACTTACGGAGTTGTGACGATCTTAACTTAATCCGTCCAAATACTTGTGTATGAGACTGCATGATACTGTACAGCAATGAGCTTTTGTGAAGAAAGAAGAAAAAGTTGCATCAACTCCGGCCTGATCCATGGCCTTTTCGGTTCCACCTCTATCTCAGGAGGCTCGTCCAACATTTCGAAGCCCCCCATCTCGCTCGCCTCTGTCTGCAAGAGCACGTCCATCTTCGAAATGGCAAGACCAGCTTGCAGGGTTTAGAGTTTAAGGTTTAGGGTTTGGGGCTTAGGGTTTAGGGGCGAGGGGTTAGGGTTCAGGGCCCAAGGTCTAGGATGGCTCAGGGTTCAGGGTGCCTTGAACCAAGAGTGCTCAACACTCAAGAGTGCCGGGCAAATGTGGCGCTTGTACACAATCCAAACTGGCGAGCATTTATATGTCAGTTGAGAAGCAACCTCGGGGCCTAAATGGAATGGGTTTGGGGGGATATCTTAGTGCAGTTGTACAGGGACTATTAGAGATTAAAAACTACTGCATTGCATTGCATCCGGCATTAAGCTGAAAGGTCTGAGAAATACCAGAAACATTCAAGCAGCAGTAGCTCTGCAGCAACACAGGTAAAGACGACATTCTGACATTCTTCATCACCCCTAAACCCTAAACCCTAAACCCCCAATCCCTAAACCCCGAAACCCTAAACCCTGAACCCCGAAACCCTAAACCCCCAAACCCCGTAGCCCTAAACCCCGTAACCCTAAACCCCGAAACCCTAAACCCTGAACCCTGAACCCCAAAACCCCTGAACCCCGAAACCCCGTAGCCCTAAACCCCGTAACCCTAAACCATGTAACCCTAAACCCCGTAACTCTAAACCCCCAAACCCCGTAACCCTAAACCCCGGAACCCTTAAACCCCGTAGCCCTAAAACCCCGAAACCCTGAACCCCGTAACCCTAATAAACCCCTGAACCCTAAACCCCGAAACCCCTAAACCCTAAACCCCCAAACCCCGTAGCCCTAAACCCCGTAACCCTAAACCCCGAAACCCTGAACCCCGTAACCCTAATAAACCCCTGAACCCTAAACCCTAAACCCCCAAACCCCGTAGCCCTAAACCCCGTCACCCTTAAACCCCGAAACCCTAAACCCCGAAACCCTGAACCCCAAACCCTGAACCCCAAAACCCTAAACCCTAAACCCCCAATCCCTAAACCCTAAACCCCGTCACCCTTAAACCCCGAAACCCTAAACCCCGAAACCCTGAACCCCAAACCCTGAACCCCAGAACCCTAAACCCTAAACCCCCAAACCCCGTAGCCCTAAACCCCGTCACCCTTAAACCCCGAAACCCTAAACCCCTAAACCCTGAACACCAAAAGGGTCCACCCCAAAACGGTTGCCGCAAGCCGAAGTCAAGAGCCCGAACCCGGCTACTCGGCGCCGGGCATGGCTGGGAGACTCATCCTTGCGCTGGCTCTACTAAAGGCTTTAGAGCCAGGGTTTAGGGTTTAGGGTTTTAGGGTTTAGGGTTTAGGTTTTAGGGTTTAGGTTTTAGGGTTTAGGGTTTAGGGTTTAGGTTTTAGGGTTTTTTTTTAAGGTTTAGGGTTTAGGGCTTCTTAATGCAATGACCTTTCTCCGCAGGGACAGGTCTCCCTCTTCAGAGGATTGCATTAGGGGCCCACTCAGAATCCCACCCTCCACGGTTCGTCAGTGTCTCTACTAAAGGCTTTAGAGTGTAAAGTTTAGGAGTTAGGGCCTGATTCAGATTTAAGGTTTCCAGTTTAGAAGTTGGGGTTTTGGAGTTTAGGGTTTAGGGTTAGGGTTCAGGGTTTAGGGTTTAGTAAACGTGCTCCGCGTCAAGATTGATGGCGTGAGTATTGCAGTGTCTGGGCCCAGGTCAGCGGATTGCACCTCTGGGTTGTAAAAACCAAACATGAGCTACTATTTGCTTAAGAATCCCCCAAAACATAAACATACTAATCCCTATATTGCCCCCCATAAGGAACATATTTTTTATTTTTTGGGGGTTCTTAAGCAAAGAGTAGTGAGGGTTTCAGGTTTGGATTTCAGTGGGTTGGGGCTTCGGAGTGCTGGATCTGTTGTTTTGATGTGTGGGGCACAGGGATTCGTTCCAGGGTTCCATATCCAACACAACCTAAATACGGGAGTTTCCGAAAATAGGGGACCCTGATAAAGTACCCTAAACAGTAGGATCCTGCATATGAGGACCCCAAAATAAGGTACCCCTAGTTTTCGGAAACTCCCATATATCGAGCCCTTGAACCGCACAAAAAGACAGGAATGCAGCGTGCCACCAGCGTTGACCCGAATCAAGCCATAGCCACATCTCTGAACCATAAACCCTAACCCCAAACCCTAAACCCTAAACCCTAACCCCAAACCCTAACCCATGTGTCACAACGGAGACAACGAACGCGCCACAACCCCGGCAAGGCCGCGCCTGACCAAAAGAGCTGGCGTAGTCCTTTCCCAATCCAAACCCAAACTCATTTCTGGTGCCTTAACGTAGACCCTTGTGTTCGCACCAATTTGGGGGGAGATGGGCTTAAACATGAGGGGTCTGCATGGGGATTTGATGGTGCTTAGGATCTAGTGGAAGTGCTCAGGTTTGGCGGTTGGGGGTTTAGGGTTTAGGGTTTAGGGTTTAGGGTTTAGGGTTTATTGTTTAGGGTTTAGGGTTTAGACTTGGGTTGTGAGAATCTGAAACTCCTGAATCCGAAAGCCTCAACTAAACCCTAAACCATCAGAAGATTCGGAGACCCTAGGGAAAGAGTAGCACTGAAGAGTTGGGTTTCGGGCTCCAGAGTATACTGGGTTTAGGCTTCAGGGTCGAGGAAGGGCTGAGGTTTCCGGTTTAGGGGTTTCGGGCTTAGGGTGTAGAGGATTCGGAAAGCAACCTGGAGGTCAGACCATCACAGCTTCAGGCCGGTTGCTGAACCCTAAACCCCAAACCCCCTCAGCAACCTTATGGATCCCATTCCTTTCAGGGAACCCTTCCATTCCTGAGCTACCGAGACTTTTCTCGAATGACGTTGAGCGAACATCGTAGAAATACGTCTGGCATGATCCGACAAGGCGGTGACACATTACATGCAACTCAAGTGGGCTTTGCTGAGAGGTATGGCAGCAGCTCCAGCGATTAACAACAGAAGTAACATCCCAAACTCTGCTCGGGTTTAGGGTTTAGGGCTCAAGGAGCAAAAAAGAAAAAGAGGGGTGGTTAAGGGTTTGAGGGTTGCGGATAAGGCTGCAGGGACTTCCAAAAAACAAAGGGCTCGGGATACATGATTTCTGACGTCATCTTTTGGCCGCTTGAACGTTGCCTGGCGTTTAGGGCTTAGGGACGAAAACCCAAAGCCCTCAACCCCATCAAAATGAGGCACTAGGACTCCACTAAAGGACTCCGAGCAAAAGGTTGCAACACAGCGAAACCTTCAGATGCCTTCCAACTTGCAAGGCAACAGCATACCCAAAACTCCTGCAGCCTGAACAAGCTTCCGGAACTATGCCACAAAAAAAATAGGGGCCTTAGTAATTCCGGCAGGGCTTTGGGCCCATTATGCTATACTTATAATAAGGAACCCCCCAAATAGTATAGGTAATTATCAAGGCCCCTATATTAACCCTCCGGACACCCCGAAACCCCTTTAACGTCGACACACACACACACACACACACACACACCATCGATCTCAATCCCAAAAGCCCTAAAACCTAAATCCCTAAACCCCAAACCCCCCTAAACCCTAAACCCTAAACCCCCCTAAACCCTCAACCCTAACCCCTGAGCCTTAATCCCTAAACCCGAACCCCCAAACCCTAAACCCTAACCCCAAAAGCCCTAAACTCCAAAGCCCTAACTCGGAGAGCCGCAGTGATGGAGACCCGGTCCTGAGCAGCCAGGCGTGCGCCGTGACCTCAGCCCCGAAATCCTAAAACGGTGCAAAATATCGGGGTTTGGGGTTTGGGATTTTGGGTTGAGGGCTTAGGGTTTCGGGCTTAGGTTTTTGGTTTAGGGTCGTAGGTCATAATATGCTCTAGTTCTAAAAAAGAACCCCAAAATGGTTCCTGCAACACGGTGTTGAAATCGCAAAGGACCCTACTAGAATCTCTATGAAGTCCCATGATTATGATCTCGGATTGCGAAGCACTGAATTCCCCGATCTGCTGGCGGATTCAAAGACACGCACGCCATGCTTTCCCCCAAGCACTGGGGCGATTCAGGATTACTGCGTGAATGCTGCCACCCACATACTGGCTGGGTTCACTGGCGCGACCAACAGTCTTACCCCCAAATACTGGCGCGCCACATTCCAAAGCCAAACTGAAGTTGAAGTCAATATATTGGAATTTCCATGGAATTAGCTCTGGGTAGACTCACATGGATCCTGTGAGTGAAATCCTGCACTGCCACAGCGAGAGCAGACCGTTGACCCAATTTTGCTTTCCAACAATCTTGTAGTACCCTGCTTAGTATCCCTTTAGTACCCTCGTAGGAACTCTGATAGAGCCCTTATACGCATTCTTATAACCCTCACGGTGATCCTAAACCCTAAACCCTAAACCCGAAACCCTAAACCCGAAACCCTAAACCCTAAACCCGAAACCCGAAACCCTAAAATATGATTTTAGGTCTAGGGTTTCGGTGGAATTTGGGCTTAGGATTTTGTGTTTAGGTCTTTGGGTTCTGGGTTCAGACCCTGTTTAATCTATAACTTGCTCGTTTCGATCTGTCGAAGATATATCAAACTGGTTCGCTCGAAGGGTCCATGGTTAACTGTTCTTTCGAGAAGACGAGCCCATCGTACCTTAAGTCCTTTATTTCAAGAGTCAACGCAATGGGGACTTCAAGCGAGATTTTGATTGGGTTGGGTTGGTCATTCACTGTTCGGTTTGCAGAGCAAGTACTCGCGAATCCCCACAAGACGGGCCATACTGCAAGTCCATCTTTGCCAACTTTCCGCAACTTCCTACACTTCAAAATGCTCAACGGTCATGGCAGACGTTCTTCGCCGCAGTCTTGAAATTCCTGCATCCTACGCACTAAACCCTCCTAACACCCCTCTAACACCCCCATTCCAGCCCTCTAGAACCCTAGCCCCGATAACGTCCCGAGACACCCTAACTCAGGGACCCGAAAAGAACATAAAGCATAAGCATTTTACAAGTAAAACCGAGTATAGGGGACAGATAAGCTAATGATAATGTTC